AGCTAGGTTTAATTTTTTTTTAATATAAATTCTCGATCATGAAACAGTATAAAACATGAAACTTTGATGTGATACATGTCAGCTCAAAACAGAACCATGGGCGACTAATTAAAAATTGAAGACACCTTGTAGGAATATGAGTTACGCCTCTTTACGTAACAATGCTGTTTATTAATATATTAATATATTTTATTCTTTATTTATTGTGTAGTCGTGGCGGCGCGTTTATTAATTGAGTCAAAGTTTCGTCATTAATGTATGTCTATTTCTCGGACACTGCAAATGAATGATCATGTTGAAGAAAACCAAAATACACCAAGAATAGTCGTCGACATTTGTTAAACGCTCTGCTGTAGCGTGTATTCAAGCATTAATTCTTCGCTGTGACCGATTTCAGTCTTTCGGTCGTCCTTATATATATATATATATTTGTGTGTGTGTGTATGTGTGTGTAAGTGTGTGTGTGTGATAAAAAGAAATAAAAACAGCAAAATAACTGCTGCTTTTATAGCTTTTTATCACACACACACACACACACGCACACACACACATATATACTCGTACAGGAAAAACACTTTTACTTTCAACATATACATAAAAGAGCAAATTTGGTTAGAAAGGTAGCAGGTGCAGCAAATCATTGAGTTACCACGCAGCCAATGAATCTCTAGTTGCATCAGAGATCTCGGATGAGTTAATTTAACTTCTAACTATATAAGAACTATATATGGAACATCGCATAATTATGTTCCAGCTATCACAATCGACACTCCAACTGCCGTATTTTATCCTGCGCAACGCCAGCCCCAACATGATCTAAACAATACTGTTGAGGTTCATGATGTAGGCCTACATGAGGATTTGTTTTGTATCTATGGTCAAGCGAGGGTGTGTTGACCCGCTGTAATTAGGTGCCATTAACAGCAGGATATATCAGCCAAAAGATCACCATTATTGGTTGCGGCGACATGATAATAGCTAAAAAAACTACTACAAAATACAAAAACGAAGACCGCCTCTTCTTGGGGATGCTACCATTAGATAATGCTCGGGCCGAATTTACCACCTTTTAAGAACATTTTTTTTATCTGGAACCCTCTTCAGATAGTTAACCAGATGCATCTTATTCAGAAGAGATATTCAATTTATCCAACTTGTACTTATAGTCAGGGGTGGCGTCTAGACACTTGTAGGCTACTTATGTACCTAGCCTTGAATCCCGGAGTATTGATAAAGTGGATTTTATAAGACGTAATCAACATAGTACAAAACACGACTCCAGTACATACAAAATCATACAACAAATCTGATATTCAAGAGGGTTTAAACAAGCCCTCCTCTGTCTCTTGTCAACAACGTTCCCAACATGGCACGTTTTTCAGTCCGCAATACTTGTTAATGATATTGAATCCACACTGTTAGAATTTACATAAAAAAATCGATGAAAGTCGAACTCAATTCTTCGGAAAGAAATTCTTTTAAACACTGACATCGTGCCTCGGGTTTGCTTATTGTCACCGTGTTTCTACATATTTACAGAGAGTTTACTTAAAAACCGGGGGGAAAAAACAAAACGCCCCCTCATCTGGGGCCTATATAATCTAACGTGCCATTCTCATCATCGCTGTGGTCGATTGCTTTTCATTTGGTATCCTGCTATTCTGTAATGAATATGGACTCAACGTATGTGTTTTGTTTATGAACCTTGAAGTGAGAGATACATTATTCATCAGTTCAATTCTTATCCTTCACCTTGGTTTTGTCGAGGATATCGATTCAGTACATCAGCGTTTGCCCTGTTTTACCCTTTCCTTATTTAGCTGTAAGTTTCTTCAGTAAATATTATCTTTTTTCCACTTTGTTCTGCTATTATTTGAATTTTGTATATTTTAGAAAGATGTCACAATATCTTATCCTCCCTCGTTAGTAAGCGTTAGGCCTTTACACTTTTTTTCACTGGAGGTTTCTGCAAATTCTGGTTATCACCAAATATACGTGTATGTGTACCATAACTAAAACCGTTGAGATAAGCACGATCTGTTATCCAGTTTTCGGGTGGTTAATTTGTAATTTTTGTATTTGCACTTAATAAAAAAATTTGAACACACCCAAAAGGTGATTCCGCCTTGTTAATTAGACTACATCTCGGTGAACACTGCACCTGAACAGTTCTCTTCATAATAGTTATAACCAGTACCTGCCTGCAAGTTGCCGGATTGGGCAGTACTGGGCAGTAGTTCACAGGTACATTGACCATTTCCGACGCAGAGAACGTTTATAGCTACACACTCCCAGTTCTGCAAACAGGACATGCTGCATTCGGCACGACTGATGAAATTCAGCGTGGATATGGGTGCAAGGGATGCACGGGCACCTGCTGCTACCAACTTGTACCTTGCTGTGCTTGAAATACCTGGAATTATTATTATTATTAGTAGTAGTAGTATTTATGACTATCGTTATTATTATCACTTTGTAAAATACATAGCCTTGATTCTGTAAATAACTGTAGTTCAGGTGAGGACGACATAATAATAATAATAATAATAATAATAATAATAATAATAATAATAATAATAATAAGTGATAGATACAATACGAGTCGCCGAGCTGTACGTGAAATATTACGAGTGTATTGGCGAGCCGCAGGCGAGACAATACACGAGTAATTTTCACGTATCTGGCTTAAACCACGGCCTCTGATTGGCTACTACACTAGTAGTGCAACAGACCGTGGAACGCACTCGTACATGACGTGCTTGTATGTCGAATACAGCACGGCCGAGTCTTTTGTTCTACGCGCTAGCCGTGGTTTAATAATACTTATTATTATTATTATTATTATTATAACTATTATAACTTCAAAGGATTACGTAAAGAGCCCAGAAAATATGCGTTCAAATATCATTTTTCGGGTAAAATGAAACGATGCCCTTTGGTATTTCTCTAGGATGTACATTTCGATACTATATGGAGAAGCAGTACACGACGGGCTGCACAGAATGGGCGAACCACATCAATCAACAGCTGGAAAGGGGAGCGCACAAAGTCAGGGCCAGGGTAGACTTTAAAGGATGCCCTGGTCACGAAGCTCTCACCTCACAGCTGATTGAAATCCAGGACAAGGCGTCAGAAGCAATCAGACGCACCATAGAACTTCACGTAGAGGACTTCGTGAAAAAAGCCAAGGAGAACCACGAAGAGGCCCTAGCCCGCGAATCCAAGGCAGAGGACTTCTTCAAGATACACGGGACATACGAAATTAATGCTAGCCCTCAACCGACTCCAAACACCTACCCAGATCTTCTAGAACAGGTCCGCACCCTACTCCTCACAATGAAAGCCAAAAAGAGAAAGATCGTCACTTCCACAAAAGCAAAACGCCGCACAGCTGCCACCCTGAAACGGCTCAAATGAACGAGCAGCACCATATCTTAAAACAGCCCTTTTCAGGGCTACTCACATGCTCAGGAAAAGCTATACCAAAATGTTCAAACAAGAAATGAATAAACAACCAGCAAATAAAAGCACTCTTTTGTCTTTTCCCAGAGGGCGAGAAACCCTCTTTATACTTTGAAAGAAACGCCCAAAAAAAAAGCATAAAGCCCAAGTAAAAGCTCATATATTAAAACCATTAGAAAATAAACAAGTCAGAGAATACTCGCCCGGCTTCAACACCACCTGGGTCTTATTAACTGAAGGAAAAAGAATCACATCTGCTGTACCGTCTATCTCAAACCTTATTAAAAGCTGCGAGCTATTGGGATGAAAATAACAAGCTCTTTGACCGTATACAAAGCAACAGAGGCTCCCCTAATATCAATACCACCCCCCGAGGACTAGGGGATAACCTCACACCTCAAATCCTAACCTCCTAATGAATTTCATCTAATCAGAAAAGACCATGTGGGTCGACCAATCAACGGACGCCCTAGACTATATAAAAACCAGAGGACAACCTGCAAAATCAGTTCTACCTCGACCATTGAGCAATCAACACGTCGTTGTCAGAACTCCTTGGCTCACAATAGTGACACGCAGGTGACTGTCCTTACCACCTTACTGTGCCGCTATCAGTTAGCAACACCACCACTTAAGCGAGATACTTTCGTGGTTTCACTGTGATCTGCCTAGCAGATACACACATACAAAGCGAGACACCTTTGTAAGGACGAGACGTCCTCGCACACAAGTGCACGTACAATCTGCGAAAGCAGACACACACTCACTAAAGACACGAGACACCTTTGATGAAAACCGGGTTCTCTCCACCTGGAGAAAACCACCTGCTGCTATACAGCATTGACCACCCCCTCACGCACACTTAAACCTTTTTTTCCCTTTTTTCTGTCGGACTCTGCAGCTGATAAAGGTCACTTGTTGACTGAAAAGCGCTTTCTGCAACCAGTCCCCCCCCTCCAGGATGTACGACCCGTACAACCTTTCTCTGGTCACTTTCATACAGAGGTGAGACGCCTCTTTCTACACCACGCTGAGGTGAGACGCCTCATGCAGTACGCTGTACACAGCTACGCACACACTCTCCATCAGATATAGCTTTAATCTGATATATCAAATCACTCACTCACACATACGTAACGAAGGAAAACAAAGGGATTTTGAGCATTAAATCTCAACCCCGAACGTCCCACTAACAAGCTCACAGCTTTTAACTAGGGGCGCTGTCAAAACGCACGTACCCAGGGGCCCAGCCTTGGATCGTGTTATTTTGATCTGAGGTAGTTTAACTAAGGCATGAGCCGACCACCCCCAAACACGGTTTTTGTGTCCTAATTTTTTTACCACCGCCAAGAAGATTATGTTTTGATTCCTGTGGTTAGTTTGTTTCTTAGTTTGTTCGTTTGCAATATTAAGCAAGATGTTATAGATTGGTTTAGATGAATTTTTCAGAAATTATTGGTGGACCAAAGAACAAATGATGTACATGTACGAACAAAATCTGGGAGCAAAACATAATTCTTAACTTGGAATCCGCCTGTTTAGGGAAAGATTTTAAGCATATATGTACCGTGAACCTCCACTTCACATAACTGCAAGGCCAGTTCGTCACTGCCAACTTTAATGATCAAAACATATCGTCCTCTCAGTGGTGTCCTACAGGTCAGAGATGTGTTTCCCTTAGGTGCCACCCCCGGGTAACTGGCGCAGAGCTTGTACTGTGTGAATGATGAATTACCCACAAAAGAGTATCCAACTCTCACCTCGAAATTGACCAGACGATTATCTGAAAATGACAAGTGACACGCGTCATGCAGCGTCATATATTGGACAAATTATAAACCAGTTATGGAAATTACATGAATGAAAATATCTCTATATTTGAGAGCGTTGTCACATGTAAAGCACCTCGCATACCTTTCAGGGCTTTTTTTACTTAATTCTCAATTTAATTTTTTTATATTTGTTTCACGCTCTTAGTTAATTTAACACTGTTACATGCATGTACATGAACGAAGCGTGGTTACCACCAGAATCAATGAATATACATGTATATTGCATTGAAAGTGAATGTAAAGTAATGCAAGTTACTAGTATTTATGAAACTTAAAACATCAGATGTTGCAAAAATACGGAAGTGTTTTATAAATTAAAAGTGAATCAAAAAGAGAGAGAAAGAGAGAGAGAGAAGAAAGAGAAAGAAAAAATAGAAGAAAATTTACTGCAGCAGTCGCCTCTGTTTGTTACGGTAACACCTGCCACATTTGCCTTAGTTTCTAAATCCACAAGCCACCAATTCCCCTGACCATGATCTGTATGGGTGCAGCTGCCTTGATGCCAGATGTCGTTATAGTTACCGTCCACAGCGAGAATGGCAACGGAGGACGCTCGGGTGGAGCTTTGGTACGCAGGTTTACCTTTGGCCAAATCCTGGGAGCAACCTCTGCATAGTGGTGCACCTGTCGGGAGTAATAATAATAACTAATGAAACAAAACACATGGTAAAGTACTGATTAACCTTAACTTAATTAAACAATCATAATTAAAATCTAATCTAATCGTTTTTGGTCCATTTTTTTACCTTACCTGAAATACCTTTCCATTTAATTTTGTTAATAATAAATTAATTAATTAATTAACCAATAACATCAGGTCTATACCCGTTGCATTTTAAATACCAAAATTAATTCATACTACTCTTAAAGAGGTACAAAAGTAATGGGTGAATTTAAAATGATGCAAATTTTCAAATAAATCATACAAACAACTGGGCTGGGCACACAAGTCAATTATCGGGTCAATTATTACGTTATTATATTGTGGCTTAATTGCTGGAGAGTTTCAGTACATCAAATTAAGACTAAAATATTTTCTATCACTTGCACCAAAGACACATAAAGCATACCTTATCACCGCTTTACCACACGCAGACTTACCAAGAACTGTAACAGTGACTCCGGCTAGAAGCAGTCTGAGAACCGCCATACTTTCTTATTATCACGACGGCAGCGTCTTTGTATGTGTATTTGAATTAAAATACCGACAGACAAACCAAATATAATGATTTGTAGTTGCTCTGGGTGGTGAATCAATTGAAATGGATTGAGAGTGCTGGGGGGAAGGGTCGCTGCTTTTTGAATATTTATAAGGGCGCCTTTTAATCCATCTTTCACGGTTCCCCAACTGATATATTATGGTAACTTAAAACAGGTCTATTTTATGTCGCATGGAATCGAACCTCATTAAATGTCAAATTGAAAATCTAATTAAAAATCGATGGCTCCTTGTACAATTTTGAGTTACGTCTCTTTACGTAACAATGCCAGTTTTAGCTTTAGATTTGTTGTCTGCAGTCATAAGAATGTGTATTAGTAGCATAGTTGCATGTAAAACAAAGAATGCGACCGAAAGACTGAAATCAGCCATAGCGAAGAATACTTGAATTCACGCCACAGAAGATAGTTTTTCAAATGGCTAAGTTTATGCTTTGTTTATAATGTTTTTCTACAACATAAAACATGATCATACATTCACAGTGTCCGAGAAGTAGTCAAACAGGCTCCATGTAAGAACAATAACACATTGAATCATACAATGTGCCGCCATGACTACACAATAAATAAATAAATAAATATATATATAAATAAATAAATACATAAATAAATAAATAAATATAAAACAATATGAAAAAGATCATTCGATTAGCAATGCATGTAACTATGAACAGTACCATCTTAGTTTATATGCCATAAACATAAACTAAATTAACTTCTTTTAAGTAGCCAGGGTTCTCCAAATACAGACCAACAAATGTGTTCCTGGATATTCAGCAAGAGGGCAACGATGGGTATACATTGGTCAGAGACATTTCATGTTCATACATTTGCATTGAAATAAACTGTGTTGTAGCAGACATACCAATGTTTATAATGATATCTTACTTATACAGAGTACTATGGGAAGCCGATCTTTATTTCAAGCCAATTTTCAAAGCAGCTAAACTGTGTGCAGAAGAAGAAGGGTAAAAACACATTTTTCCTTACAACTTTTTATTCCTATGCATTAATATTGTGATAACTACTTTACATAAACGAAACGATAAAGAAACTACTTTACTTAATGGACCAATATACGCAATTACAATTTATATAATTCAATTATTAAAAATGCTTGCTATGTGCATGAACACATTTATTCCTTTTGACCGTTACCGTGGGCAATATAAAATACCCAAATCCAAATAAAATACCCCATAATATACATTAAAAACAATAAGAATACTTAAAGAAACCAAATTAATAACTTGAAGGTCCAGCATGTCGTTCCCTCTTAATAAATCTCGTAATGTGATAAAAAAAGAAACACGTTGCTAATTGCATATCAGCAAATCAATTTTTATTGATTTTCATTAACCCATGGATACGTTTACAAACACTCAGTGGTGACTTGGCGCCAAATATTGGCAACCCGTTTGCTTTATAGTATTTCATCAAACGGCGGACGGCGACATAATGATCCTTCTATGCTTTCCTGCAGCGTGGGTCCCATGTCCATTCTATATTTGCAAAATTGAACAAATTTCTGTGAATGGCACTCCTGTCAAAATGCTCGCATTCTTTTGGACAAATATGGAAACCTCCCGAGAAACATAAACCCTCCATCATAGCTTGAGGAGCGTAGGCATGCTTGTCGTACGGGGTAAATAGTAACTCAGAAGACCTGGGCCTGTGGTACTTCCAGTGAATTGAGAGTCTGGCCATAGGCTGATGTTCCTTCTCCGAAAAATAATGAAAAAATAATAATGCGTAGAAATATTAAGTAATGTTTTAACGAGCTTATTTACAGACAACATCTGGACAGGAAAACTGTTTTAAAATCCATTACCCTGTGGGTACTCCATTCATGCTTACATCCATTGCTTTCTAAGATGCGGCACCAATGGAAATCATTTGATAGGCTACAACAAGGCTGCATGACGGCAATGCGCAACATCATCCTATACATACGTAACAAATAAACGACATCCAGCATGAGATAAGAATAACTCTTTTGGCGTTAGATTTGATTTATATACGTAGAAAGTAGTGTCAAAGGAACTCGCAAAAATGGTTAAGACCGTTTTCATGTAAAAGTAAGAAACCCTATTTGGAGAAAACAACAGTGGAAATACTTCTGAATTATTTATTTAACATTTTCACGTGTTGCTTCGCTTAATATTAATCAATGCACACGTGTCACATGACGTCGCAAGCTTCAGATCAGACACGTTTCTGTTTATGTTGATGCAAGTGACGTATGCAAGAAGAATATAGTTTGTTTGACAATTCTAGCTGCAGGAAAATAATGCAAAGCGATGCCTATTTGCGTTAAGGCAATTGAACTAGAGGGATACGAAACAGAAATACTGAGGAAAATGTGTGCGATTTCTCTGTTTTTTTTTTTTTTAGATTGCGTTATCATATGTTAACTCTATACCCAATTAGGCTAACGGTCTAAAAGACTTAAAGCAATAATAACTCTTCCTTTGAGATTCAAAATTCCGCAAGAAATACATTGTAAACAACGCTNTTTTAATGATCAACACATATCTTCCTCTTAGTGCTGACCCACAGGACAGAGATGTGTTTCCCTTAGGTGCCACCCCCGGGTAACTGGCGCAGAGTCTGTACTGGGTGAATGATGAATTACCCACAAAAGAGTATCCAACTCTCACCTCGAAATTGACCAGACGATTATCTGAAAATGACAAGTGACATGATCCCCAACTTGGCATATGCTGTGATAGTACAGCGTCATGCAGCGTCATATATTAGACAAATTATAAACCAGTTATGGAAATTACATGAATGAAAACATCTCTATATTTCAGAACGTTGTCACATGTAAAGCACCTCGCATACCTTTCAAGGCTTTTTACGTAATTCTCAATTTAAGTTATTTTATATTTGTTTCACGCTCTTATTATTAATTTAACACTGTTACATGCATGTACATGAACGAAGCGTGGTTACCACCAGAATCAATGAATATACATGTATATTGCATTGAAAGTGAATGTAAAGTAATGCAAGTTACTAGTATTTATGAAACTTAAAACATCAGCTGCTGCAAAAATACGGAAGTGTTTTATAAATCAAAATTGAATCAAAAAAAAAAAAAAAAAAAGAGAAGAAAGAGAAAGAAAAAAGAGAATAAAACTTACTACAGCAGTCGCCTCTGTTTGTTATGGTAACACCTGCCACATTTGCCTTAGTTTCTAAATCCACAAGCCACCAATTCCCCTGACCATGCTCTGTATGGGTGCAGCTGCCTTGATGCCAGATGTCGTCATAGTTACCGTCCACAGCGAGAATGGCAACGGAGGACGCTCGGGTGGAGCTTTGGTACGCGGGTTTACCTTTGGCCAAATCCTGCGAGCAACCTCTGCATAGTGGCGCACCTGTCGGGAGTAATGATAATAACTAATAAAACAAAACACATGGTAAAGTAATGATTAACCTTAACTTAATTAAACAATCATAATTAAAATCTAATCTCATCGTTTTTGGTCCATTTTTTACATTACCTGAAATACCTTTCCATTAAATTTTGTTATTAATAATAAATAAATTAATTAATTAATCAATAACACCAGGTCTATATCCGTTGCATTTTAAATAACAAAATTAATTAATACTACTCTAAAAGAGGTACAAAAGTAATGGGTGAATTAAAAATGATGCAAATTTTTAAATAAATCATACAAACAACTGGGCTGGGCACACAAGTCAATTATCGGGTCAATTATTACGTTATTATATTGTGGCTTAATTGCTGGAGAGTTTCAGTACATCAAATTAAGACTAAAATATTTTCTATCACTTGCACCAAAGACACATAAAGCATACCTTATCACCGCTTTACTACACGCAGACTTACCAAGAACTGTAACAGTAACTCCGACTTGAAGCAGTCTGAGAACCGCCATTCTTTCTTGTTGTCACTACAGCAGCGTCTTTGTATGCGTGTTTAAATTGGAATGCCGACTGACAAACCAAATATAATGATTTGTAGTTGTTCTGGGCGGTGAATCAAATGAAATGGATTGAGAGAGCTGGGCAGAAGGATCCCTGTTATTTGAATATTTATGAGGGTGCCTTTTAATCAATCTTTCATAGTTTATATATTATGATATTATGATATATTATGGTATCGTGAAGCAGATCTATTTTATGTTGCATGGAATCTAACCTCATTAAATGTAATCTAATATCAAAAACGTGATTAATCGGCAATTTTCCATGTAGGCACACACATTTTAATCCATGAGCAGACCTTGCTCCTTCTCTGTCAAATGGCCGTTTGCAATAAGTAAGTAGTTTTTTGTTTCTGTAAGACCCCCGTTGAACATCCTTTTACAACAGGACCCACTTTCATCAACATCGGATGGCATTATTCTATAAATAACACTATCCATTGGATTATATTTTATCCTCTAGACTGTTATCCTGAGGAAAGATGCCGTTTTTAACCTTTGGAAAGAAATATCAGATAAAAGTATATCTAGCGTTTATCATTACTTTACTACAAGAAAACTGACCAGATGATAGCAAAAAACAAAACAATGAGCTGAGGGGAAATTTTAGATACAACTTTACTTCAATTTTACACTCAGTGTAACTGGTGAAACAATATCGCGACTTTTTAAATTGTGCCGTCTGGAATCGAAGGTACTGGGGCTCGTAAAAAGAACTCAGGCCTTTGCACATTCTCACTGTGTATTCTGTTGAAACACGTTTATACTGACGTTTGTTTTGTACGTAATCTGAGAAACTTATATACCTCTGTGAGCATATGTGAACAAGTCCATAACAGCTGGATTACAATGCCGTAATTGCAAACAAAAAGGAGATTATATGCTGTAGTGTGGTCCACAACATAAATATTCATCTTTATTCCGCACAACTGTGTGCGTGTATATGTGTGTATGACTTGTGTCAGCTAAGTTTAATTTTTTTAATAAAATCTCGACCATATGCATGGGACAGTCTACAACATGAAACTTTGATGTGATACATGGCAGCTAAAAACAGAACCATGGGCGTCTAATTAAAAATCGATGTCTCCTTGTACAAATATCAGTCTTCTTTACGTAACAATGCTGGTTTGTCTTGGCTTTGTTGCTTGCAGTTATAAGAATGTGCATAAGCAGCAGCATGTAAAACAAAAAATGCGAAAAAATAGAGAAATAGATAAATAAATAAATTTAAAAAGATAAATCAATATGAAAAAGATAAAATTCAAAGGCATGTAATAATGAGCAGTACCATCCTACATGTAGTTTATATGCAATAAATATAAACTAACTCTTTTTCAAGCAACCTAGGTTCTTCAAATACACTCTTGCCCAAAATGGTTGGTACACGGAAACTTTGGGAGGCATATCGCCCTGTTTCTTTCATTATTATTGATATTAACAAATTAATACTGTTTATATTAATAAAAATGTGAAGCTGGAGGATTGGTCAAATCAAGGAGAAACAAAAAATGCAAATGTGAAAAAAGCGTTAATTTGTTTAGGGTATTTTTTTCTCATGCCCCCCAAAAGAGTACATTTTTTGCATGACAATACCAAGTGAAAAATTTAACATAAATTTATACTGTGATTGACAATTAATATGAAATTAGGGGAAATTGTCAAGAAACATCTTCAGAGTTCATTAAAAATGGCACCCCATACATAAATTAACGCTTTTTTTTTAATTTGCATTTTGTGTGTCTCCTTGACTTTACCAGTCCTCCAGCTTCACATAATTAGCAATATAAACAGTATTAATATGATAATATCAATAATAATGAAAGAAACAGGTCGATATGCCTCCCAAATTTTCCTGTACCAACCATTTTGGGCAAGAGTGTACATAATGACAAAATGTGTACCTGGATATTTTGCAAGAAGGCAACGATGGATATACATTGGTCAGAGACATTTCAAAACTACCTTAACTGTGATGCATCAGACATACCAATGTTTATAATGATATCTCACTAATACAGAATAATGTGGGGAAACCAATCTTTATTTCACACCAGTCTGCAAATCAGCGAAACTGGGGATAAAGACATCCTGTGTGCATAAGCGCTAAGGGTGAAAACACTCAAAAATTTCCTTAAAACCTTTTATTCCTATGTATTTATACTGTGATAACTATTTTACATGAAAGGAAACGAAAAGAGAACCTCTTTCCTTAATGTACCAATGTAAGCAATTACAATTTACATATTTTATTTATTAAAAAAACGGGTTTGCTATGTGCCTGAACACATAAACTTCATTTTGAGCGCTGCCGTGGGCAATATGAAATACCCAAATCCAAATGAAATACCCCTTACTACACATTAAAAAACAATAAGAACTTAAAAATACCTAGAGAAATCAAATGTATAACTTGATTGTCCAGCATACCATTCCCTCTTTTTAAATCACGTAATGGGATAAAAAAACATATTGCTAAGTGAAAATCAGCAAATTAGTTTTTATTGATTTTCATTAAGCCATAGATACGTTTACAAACACTCAGTGGTAACTCGGCGCGAAATATTGGCAACCCGTTTGCTTCATAGTATTTCATCAAACGGTGGATGGCAGCATAATGATCCTTCTGTGCTTGCCTGCAGCGTGGGTCCCATGTCCATTCTATACTTGCAAAATTGAACAAATTTCTGTGAAGGGCATCACTGTCAAAATACTTTCATTCTTTTGGACAAATATGGAAACCTCCCGAGAAACATAAACCCTCCATAATAGCTTGAGGAGCGTAGGCATACTTGTCGTACGGGGTAAAGAGTAACTCAGAAGACCTAGGAGTGTGATACTTCCAGTGAATTGAGAGTCTGGCCATAGGCTGATGTTCCTTCTCCGAAAAATTCTCACGATAATATTCTATGGGCACTCGTCCAGGACTCTTGCCCTTCCATTTATCGTTTGGATACATCTGGATGCGGAATTCGTATTCATCCCTGTGGAAAGTATATATGTATTGGCACATCATATTGAACTGTGCCACACCAAGGAATGCTTTTGAAATCCTTGCAAATACTTCGCTAAACGACATGTTGTGTTTATTTTCTAGAAAATGTCTCAATTCAATAATATGACTTACTTTAATAATCACGGGGAAGTAGGCCATACATCGAAGTACTTCCGGTTCACCAAACAGAAACTGTGTCTTTTCGGCTGCAGCGGGCCAGTAAATATTATCAAATTTTCCAACAATGGCGAACACAATAGGTTTCCCACCAATGAAAAGATCTTCAGGGGTAACCATAGTTACGAACAATGTATCCGTGTCAACAAAACCAACATAGTCAGCCCTCGTATAATTATCAGGATAGAACATGGACCACTGCTGGTGGTTGTGGCCTATGGAATTATATGCATGTGGGTTGGGATCTTCATAATGTACTTCCAGATAAGGGCTGGTGAGCTTTAGTTCACTGCCAAGCTTGTGGTCCAGAACAGATTCGTTGTCCAGAACGATGACCACCTTGGTGTCCTTCGGCCAGAATAGACGCATGCTTTGCATTAGGATATTTTCATATAACTCCCTCGTTTTGTGGAACATTCGTATGAATATGACAAAACTCGGTAGATTCCCCCAAGGATTGCCTGTTAATAGATTAGCACTTGAGGCGGTTAGATTAAAACTGTAATGGATGTATAGACAATACATAACTAAACACATAAAATTCACGAACCGCACCGATATTTTGTGCACTGTGGTATGAAATGTAAATGAATAAAAGTTTATTGCAGCCAAAACAACTTCATACATGAACATATATTGTTAATATCATTTCTGTTCATTTTGTCCAAGGTTATAAATAACTAAAACCCAACGCTTTTTTACATTTTACAGTTATCTAAATTACCTGATATACGGTGACCTTGACCACCTAGCTGTTTTGTTTCGGTAACACTTGTGTTCAGTAAGGTATGAAATATCTCTGGTCTGTATGAGCCCACAATTCTGTCCTTTTGCAGAAAATCCAAGTAAATTATGATACACGTGAGGATTAATAACACGGAAAAGAAAAACGTAAACAACGCACGCCGTGTCCAACCCATCACAGCTGTAAATTTTACCTCCATCCATATAACGTAATCATCCGAATGGACCTGGCTGATGATACCTGCGGATGTCTGCTGTTTATTCACTTTGCCTTTGGCTAAGACATCAGACACAAGGATCGGAAGTATGGAAAAGTCATAATTTTGTATCGTGATGTGAATCATTATGCGAAGCTAACCTACTTTTTATGCTATAACCCTTTAGACGAGTGTGATAATTACAGGGTAGCTAAACGATTGTAAGCGGAATATAGTGACTGGCCTGATCCTCCAGTCGACTGGGTTGGCACTCCCCTTTTGAGTACTTATGTAAACCACCGTTCTCCCGTGGGGAACTGTCCTTTTGTAAACTAGTTTTTAGTGTCACCCTGGTCTTATCAGAAAGTTGCTTGGTCTAAAAAAGCACAGTTTTGGATCTATTTAAGATATTTTAATGTTAACCCGGCGACAAGGTACTTATAAAGGGATAAAAACAGAGGCCTTCACTCAATTACCAGAATTACCGTATATTATGTATTATATGCTCCACGCACTTGCCCCTCTTCTCTGTAACCCAAGAAATAAATTGAATTCTGGTCATAAAGTTCCCTTGGCCTGGGCTTAGTCTTTTAATTGTTGAGCAGAGCTCATTTTTAATAGATTCCCTTTTTCACTATTTTTAACGACATATATATTTACAGACGATCAACCATATGTCGCTTTGCGCAGCTTCCTGAACGGCTCACGTTTTATTAAACACACTTTCAATTATTTATCCGCAAGGTTTTATTGGGCTAGACTTTCATCTTTTTACTGCCAGGTGTATTTATACAATGCATTTCAACAACGTAAGTAGAATATTCTACTTGATGGACTAA